TTTAAACGTCGAAGCGTTATCCATTATACCGCAGAGGAGCGATAACCACTTCTTGTATAATGGATATTAGTTATTAATATTCACTGATGTAATTCTCCGTTGTTTTATTAGACTGAATTGTACATTCAGCTGACGAGTTCCAAGCAGGACGAAACGCTCTTCCTGGATACTTTTGCTAGCCACAACTAACAAAATTAACATAATTAACATTCAGGTAATATTGAGGCATTCGCATCAAAGCCCATGTGCTAATAGATGTCGGACAATTCGATCCAAGAAAACAACGGAGAATTACAAGCATATCAATAAATAGTAATAATGGCTTTATTCTAAAAGATATAAAAATTGATAGAAGACAGTTCGGTAAAGAAAATTTTCTTTAAGATGAACCATATTTAAAGCATTACATTTTAATCATAGTTACAACAAAATTTATACATCCGTCAATGGCTAATGGGTCAATACAAGGTCATAAAAACAGCCAACAAGGTCACAAGGTGATAATGGCTAGAAGGTTAAATCAAGGTCATCAAACATGGTAAATAAACATAGGTATAAAGCTGTCAGAGAGGGAGAGAGAGAGATTATAATAAAGGCAAAATTAGAGATTGAATGTATCTTTTTTGAACACAAAGATCAGGCTAGTGGTGCTGAATATTGAATTAAGGGAGATACTGAAGAATCGACTGTGGATAGCACTGATGAATACCTTCTTTCACACTCAGCTTCAGATTGTTTTCACAAGTCAACAACTGGTTCCAGGGTGTTTAAAAGATAAACTACCGCCTTGGGTCATCTCTGTCTATGTTATGAATTAATCTGGTCTTGTGGAGCTGGTTATGTAGGCTGCACAAAGTGTATCGCATCAAAACATATCTTCTAACACTATCCTGCATAGTTGTCTAAAGGACAGTGTAAACCGTCAACAGCTTGATTCTTCAGCATTTAGTTATCTCTGGTCAATGTGATCCACAAGAGTTTTCTTTCAAAGTCATGAATGAAGTGAAGGCAAATATTTTGAAGTGAATGCGTATTCATCACCTCAACACAGCAGAGCTATGGCAATCTATCACTACATTCAGTCTCTAATCTCTCTCTGACGGTTTCTTCATTTTTGTGTTTATATACCATATTCCTGTCAGCAATATTTGATGACCTCGATTTAACCTTCTAACCGTTATCACCTTGTGACTTTATTGGCTATTTTTGATGACCTTGTATTGACCCATTAGCCAATGATGGGTAAGTATGATTACAAATTACCTTATGGTAATTTTTGTTATCTCTATGATATTTCGGGAAAACTATACAGAATTTCGGTGTTTCATACAGCATTTATTGAACAGAAACAGTCGATAAGTGTACATAATAAAATAAAATAAGTAGTAATTGCATACATAAATGATAAGAGTATTTACTCTATCTATAACTTTTTTGAAAATCGAAAGTTAAATTAGGTAAACAATCACATTAGCCATTAGATTTTTGATGTTCTACGCCATACAGAATAGTCTTTTTTGAGGAAAGAATAAAGGGGAACAACAGCAGAATAGGCAAGATGTAGGAGTTTATAAACACAGGAGAAGAAGCATAGTTATACCAGATACTAGCAGCTTCCTAATATAATAAGTTAGGCGGAAGATTCTTTCGGAACTAGTAAGATATGGGAGAACCAGAAAAGGTCCGAAGGAAAACACACACCAAGATAAATCATACTTGTAACATTCTCTTATATAGAACCAATAATAGAATAGGTCAACAACTACCTACTCTGGCTCGTTACTGAAGCTCAGCTCAGATCGCCAGAAAGAATAAGTAACAAAGAACTCTGGCTGGCTAGCAACGAACCAACGAAGAACCTATCGCTTAACAAATATTCAAAAGGAAGTGGAGATGGATTGAGGATGCACTGGGAAGGCCATTCGAGTGGAACCTAGATGAGAAACAGCGAGTCATGCATCCAAGGGTGACATGGAGATCCTGTGATGAATAAATGAGAGCTTGTTGGCAGTCGTGGAACCAGGTTCAAAAGATTGCAGAGAAGAGAGTGGGATGGAGACGTGCCAGTGAAGCCCTATGTTCGACTAGGAACCCAAGGGACAAATAATTATGATAATTGAACAGGAATTATGAAATCTAAGTAGTTTGCATAGGTTATGTTTACATCTGAAACTCAAGTTCACAGTCTGTCATTTTGACGTATTGCGTTTTGTACATATTTCGGTTAGACAACTTCAAGTGAAATTTCAGTGGTTTCAAACGGAATTAAAATTGTAAATTCCATCAAAATATGTCCAACATTTCTCTATTCTTTTTCATATAGATCTATCTAATACCTTCATTGAATCCTTATCATCATATTCACCTTGGTTTGACATTAATTAAGACTTGGAAATTTCATCTGGAAACATGCCTTTAATGTATATCGGATAGTAAGTCAATTCAGGGGTTTCTGGGAATTTATTGGTTTCAACATAGTATTCATCATTAGTCAGCTGGATTTACCTGCTTCCCAGGGAGTGATGTTGTCCCTATCAGCTAACGAGTCACAAATAGGACGAAATGAGCATACTGGATTCCACTGCTACTTATCCATCGTTACTATATAATTAAAAACATAGGTAATATCGAAGCATCCGTGCAGAAGCCCATATTCCAATAGAGACTGATCAATTAGGTTCAATGAACGACAGTAGAATACAAGCAATAACACTGGAACTATACTAATTTGTTGCCTAATTATCATGGAAACTGCAGATGGAATATAGGCAGAAGAGTGGTATTCCTCTCTTTGATATGAGTATTTACCATTTCTTCACTGTATATATGATGGCCTGTTTGAACTTTAGGCTACCAAATAAATTTCCACTCGATATATATATTACATTGAATTTTTCCCTTTCGGTTTGTTTTAATCTTTCAAATATGCCTTCCAAAAGTATAATATACTTATGAGGATTTTTAAAATATTCTGAAATAGCCATTTTTCGAATTATTAATACAAAGAATGTAAAAGTCTTGTTACACAGAAAAGGAACATTTAAATGCACAAAAATATATCATATTTTCACTTTTTGGATTACTTATCTCGAATGAAAAGTTCTTCTATTAGGTGAATAAACAATCAGCATTAATCCAAAATGAGTGTAACAGTCAGAGAAGTTACCATTAAGCTATTCGGACGATGAATGAAGTGAATTAACCTTTAGAGATCAATCAGTGATACACCAATGTATAAGATCTGATCATTATTATCATTTATTATTTTCCCGATTAGTTCCGAGTCGAACGTAGGGATTGAGTAGCACACCTACATTCCACTCTCTTCTCCCCTCCCTTCAAAACATGGCACCACAACACCAACAACATTTCACTTCTTACTCACATCATCTCCTCATATCACCATCAACTCACACAATCAACTCTCGATTCCCCCCTTCGAATTACACTCAACAACATGGCCTGACCTGACATCACCCACGATGCACCCAATCCGCCTTCTCACTGTGTGCCAAATCAATCTACACCTTCTTCTTCGACATATCCGTTGAGTGATGACTTCTTACTTTGTTGATTCGTTGCCAGTCAGCCAACCACACTTCCTCCTTCCTTATTGTCATCATTCTCCACATCTCATCTCATGTGATCTTCAGTATGGAGTGAGCGAGCATAGGTAGGCATAGGTGGCAACTGTTGATGAATATGTGTAGTTTGTTGGAAGTGCTCTTCATGATGCACCAACCCTCTCTCTCTCTCTCTCTCAAGCATCACATAGCATCACTGACTTCACTGATATTGGTGTTGAAAATCCAGATATTGCTCACGCTTCATGCTGGGTACAATGTAGTGGAGTAGATCTCCACACTGATTTCAGATTAATGAAGGGAGTTGTGTTTTTCTGTCCTTCCAATCCTGTCTGGTTTTGACATCCTCATTTGTGCCTGTGTCGTCACCTGTATTTGAGACGATGTTGCGAATGTAGGTATGTAGGTAGGTGTGTAGGTAGGTAGGTGTGTAGGTAGGTAGGTAGGTAGGTAGGTGTGTAGGTAGGTAGGTAGGTAGGTGTGGGGTGGTAGGTAGGTGTGTAGTTAGGTGTGTAGGTAGGTATGTAGGTAGGTGTGGGGTGGTAGGTAGGTAGGTGAAAGAGACTACTTCTTTTGGGTTTCTGCCTTTGATGATGATTGATGCTTGCTGTTGTTGGTTAGGTATTATCATCACCTGTGTCTTCTCACATTCAACTGAAGTCTCATCCTCGTTACCTTTTCTGTCAACTTGTTAGTTTTATCCTGTGCATCTTCGAGTTTGTGTGATATTAGCTATAAATCATTTTCGAGGGTCTTTTCGTTAGTTCAGCTCATGCTCATCTTCTTGCTCCTCATGGTTTGCTGCATGATCCAGTTGACCACAAACAGGAAGATCATTAGTGGTAGTAGGTGGCAGCCTTGTCTTACTCCTATCTACACTTCAAACACGTTACTGAGCATTGCGTTGTGTTGTGAATCACTTGAGATATAGCAGCCTGACATAACGTATAGCTGTTGAATGAGGTTGATGACGGTTCATAGTACTCTGTAGTGTTGAAGCAGCTGACTAATTCCTTCTTTGTCGACGCTGTTAAAGACCTTTTCAAAGTAGATGAAGTTGAGGTCGAGAGATGACTACCATTCTATACTCTATTCTATAATGATGCGCAGACTAGCGTTACAATTTGATCTGCACAGGATTTGTCCTTTCTGAATAAAATATTATTGAACAAAAATACATCATATTTTCACTTCTCGGATACTTATCTCGAATGAAAAGTTCTTCTATTAGGTGAATAAACAATTAGCATTAATTCAAAATCAGTGTAACAGTCAGAGAAGTTACCATTGAACTATTCAGACAATGAATGAAGTGAATTAACCTTTAGAGATCAATCAGTGATACACCAATGTATAAGATCTGATCATATATTCATAATTATAGATATATTTACACATAGATATTGTTTTACTCACCTTATTATAGTTTAAATCTAATAGTTTCAATTGAATCATTCCACATAATGATCCATTTTGTATTTTTGTTAAATTCATTGAAGCTAATTTTAATACTTTAAGAACAGTAAATTTAACTCCAAAATTTTTTGGCAATGTAACTGATTCTTCATTTAACATATTCAATTGATTATATGATAAATCTAAGTATTGTAATGTATTGCCTATTGAATATAATCCTTGTGGAATTTCTTTGAAATAATTTTTTGATAAATAAAGTTCACTTATTCTTTTCATATGTGTTAAATTTTCTGGAATAAAATTTAACTGACAATGATCAAGGTACAATGCCTGTGAATTTAAACAAAATTAGATATTAAATTTTGAGAGAGTTGTGAAGATTTGGAATTATTTCAAGTTGTTATTCATCGTAGACTGACTGACATCAGTTGGAGGAACAAAGGAAACCTGGGAGCATTGGACAGCTGTTTCGTCCTCAGCAGTGCGCATCCACGACCCCGCCAGCAGGGATCGAACCCGCGACCTTCAGGTTCCGTGGCCAGCGCGTTACCATTGACATTGGGTGGCGGTTGCGCTATATATCGTGAGCTAACAAAAGTTGGAAATATGGAGCATTGGATTCTGGCCCAGTGGCTAGCTCAATGGTAACGCGCTTGCCGCGGAACCTGAACGTCGCGGGTTCGATCGCTGGTGGTGTGGGGTGGTGGGTGCGCACTGCTGAGGAGTCCCATACTAGTCGGACGAAACAGCTATCCAATGCTCCCAGGTTTCCTTTGTTCCTCCAACTGATGTCAGTCAGTCTACGATGAATAACAACTTGAAAATTAGATATCTTAGTTAGTCATTGAATTATTTCCTCAGCCATTATGTAAATAAACGTTAAATAAGCTATTTGTTTACATTCATCTACTAAATACCGAGTTGAATCGATTCATCCAAGTCTGAATTGAATGGAATACGCTAAGATTACGCTAATGATGGTTAGCATTCAACAAGTTTTGCAATAGAAGTTATATTGATCTTAGTGATTGGCAGGGGAATTAAGAACTCACCAACTGGATATACTTCCACCTCAGTGAGGTCCGAATCCAGTAAGTTTCATTTTGAACCCCAGAGTGTTATCCACTAAGTCACTGGATCGTGATAGCCACTTCTTGTGCAATTGGTATCAATTGTTGTATTATTATTTGTGATTTCTCTTCGCTAATTGATTTTTAACATCGAATATCATAATTTAAACAAGAAGAAAGAAGACAGAGAATGGATCTCGATGGATACCTGGAAGCTAATAGAGCAGGGAGAGGAGGACAATGAAACAGAAGATAAACCAGTGCAAGGATGCTCAACGACAAGAGGAACTGAGCACAATATATAAACAATGGACAAAGAAGTAAAGAAGAGTGCACGGAAAGACAAAAGACACTTCTACGAAACACTGGCAAGTGTAGCAGAACAGGCTGCAGGCAGCAGAGACAAAGACCTGACAGCATTGTATCAAATAACCAAGTTACTATCTGGGAAGAGATCAACACAGATGAGATCAATAAAAGGTGATGACGGAAATTTAATTACTGAAGAAGAGAAACAAAGGAAACAATGGGCCGACCACTTCAAGAAGCTCTTGAATCGACCACCACCACCACCACCACCTGCACTTCATCCAGAAATAACACCTACAGCCACTGAACTACAAGTGAGTACAAATCCTCCAACAAAAGTGGAAGTCCTGAGGGCCATAAAGTTACTGAAATGTGGGAAAGCGGCAGCATCAGACGGGATCCCACCAGAAGCACTGAGAACAGACGCAGAGACAACAGCGGACATGCCCACACCACACCACTATTGCAGAAGGTGTGGAAGGAAGAGAAGGTACCTGCAGATTGACTGGAAGAAGAGTTACCTTGTCAAACTGCTGAAGAAGGGAGACCGTAGTGTTTGCAAGAACTGGGGCGGAATCACTCTCATGTCCACCCCAAGTAAAATATTAAGCCGCATCATCCTGGAGAGGCTAAAGGATGCATTGGATTCAAAACGACTACCGGAACAGGCAGGCTGGCTGGATTCAGGAAGTACAAATCATGTGCAGACCAAATTGCAACCCTACTCTATGCATCATCATAGAACAGAGTATAAAGTGGCAGTCAACTCTCTACCTCAACTTTATCGACTTTGAAAAGGCCTTTGACAACGTCGACCGAGAAGTAATTTGGAAACTGCTTCAATACTACAGAATACCGCAAACCTTTATCAGCCTCACTCAACAACTATATAAAGATGCAACATGCCAAGTAATTCACAATAGAAAGCTCAGTGATGCTTGTGAAGTGAAGACAGGAGTGAAACAAGGTTGCCTACTATCCCCCATGATATTCCTGATTGTGGCTGACTGACATGGATCATGTAGCAAACAGTGGGGAGCTGTGAGAAGAGGGGGATACACTGGCTGGCTGGACTGAGGAAAACAACCTAGAAGATCTGGATTTCACCAACGATGACTTGTGCCTGATGTCACACAAACTTGAAGATGTACAGGCGAAAACTAACAAGTTGATAGAAGAGGCAAGGCAGCGAAGACGGGACTTCAGGTGAATATAGAGAAGACAGAGGTGATGAAGATACCGCACCACCACCACCAACAACAACAACAACAAGCTCCAGTCACATCAAGGGGAGAAACTTAAAGGAAGTAACCTCCTTCACCTATCTGGTGAGGCAGCACTGTTTCAACTACAGGTGGCACAGAAGAGGACGTCAAAGTCGGAATCGGAAAGACGGCAAGTCAGGTGTTTATTAACCTGAAACCAGTGTGGAGATCTTCTGCACTGCACTCAGCAAGTGGAACAAGATCCAGATTTTCAGCACCAACGTCAGTCAAGTCAGAGCTACTTTATGGTTCAGAAACCTGGCGTGTCACGAAAAGCACTTCCAACAAACTACGGACATCCATCAACAACTGCCACCTACACTGGCTCGCTACTGAAGATCAGATGGCCAGAAAGAATAAGCCACAAGAAACTCTGGGAACGAACCAACCAAGAACCTATCACGCAACAAATATGCAGGAGGAAGTGGAGATGGATTGGTCATGCACTGAGAAGGCCGACTGAGGACATCACACGTCAGGCCAGGCCATCGAGTGGAATCCCCATGGGAAGCGACGAGTTGGGTGTCCTAGGTGAGGGTGACATGGAGGAGGTCGTGCGAGGAGGAAATGAGAGGTTGTGGGCTGTCGTGGAACCAGGTTGAAAAGATTTCAGAGAACAGAGTTTACTGGAGGCGTGCTACTGAAGCCCTATGTTCCACTAGGAACCCAAGGGACTAATAAATAGTAATAATAAATAATCAGTAGAATCAGTGATGCGGGTTTCGTTGTATCTATGGCCCATCAACTGGATGTACCTACCTTCCAGTGGATGTTGATGTTCCCAATGAGATGAAGTTCAAGTCTCAGTTTCTCAATTAGTCAAGCTTTTCATTAATTAGTTCATGAAGCTTCTTTTTCACAGATAATATATTGTGATATTGACGAGATAGTTTCCAGTGGAAAGCTTATTGAATGAAGTCAAAGTTGGCCAGTTCAATTTTGAGAAATATCAGTGTGATTATGCAACTTGTAAATTATTTGCAAATTGATCATATAAATTGAGATAAAGTGGTACTTGTAAATTAAGTAACCATATCTAGGTGATTTGATGTAAAGAATTCAACATGTATGATCTGAATTTGTCCGATTGGATAGGTGATGAGCTGGCTAAAACAAGCGAAACTGCTATCCGGTGACTAGATCAATCTGATCTAGTTACTGGGTGGTTAATGAAATTTAAATATGAACTTTAGGGATTTATAACTACTCAAGGTATCTAAAAGTATTTACAGAAAGGATAGTCTATTTTCCTTGAAAATCTGACTTTGATGAAACTGAAAGAGGTCAGAAATTTATCTTTCTACTTCAGTTGCATATAACATATATTCTGTTATCTAAGTTGTCTACTCGATGCTCATTTGATTTAAACAGACTAGGTAAGTTCTTGAACTTGCTACTCATTGGTTTGTCAATAATTAATCGTGTCTTATCAACCAGTCTTAACACCGTTTCGAAAGGATGGAAGTATGATGTTATGAAGTAAGATCAGTATTTTCTTAACTGCTAAAGCGACTGCAAACTATTTCTAATTAACAGAATTTAGAAACTATTAAATTATTATTATTGGTCCCTTGGGTTCCTAATGAAACATAGGGCTTCAGTAGCACATCTCCATTCCACTCTCTTCTCTACAAACTTTCGAACCTGGCTCCACGACTGCTCACAAGCTCTCATTTCTTCCTCACAAAATCTCCTCCATTTCACCCTCATCTAGGACACCCAACTCGTTGCTTACTATCTAAGTTACACCCGAGTGCCTGGCGCATGATATCTCCAGTCGGCCTTCCGAGTGTATGCCCAATCCATATCCGCTTTCTTCTCCATATTTGTTGAGTGATAGACTCTTGGTCAGATCGTTTCCAGAGTTCCTTGTTGCTTATTCTTTCTGACCATCTGAGCTGACCTTCAGTAAGGAGCCAGCGTAGTAACGTGCCAAGTCTCTGAACCATTACATGAGACCACTGACGTGACGTTGGTGTTGAAAATCCGGATCTTGTTCACGCTTCATGCTGAGTGCAGTACATCTCCACACTGGTTTCAGATTAATGAACACCTGTCTTGTTGTCTTTCCGATCCTGGCTAGCTTTGACATCCTCATCCGTGCAGCCGCATGTAGTTGAAACGATGCTGACTAGGTAGGTGCACGTGAAAGAGGCTACTTCCTTTAAGTTTCTCCGTTGATGATGACTAGAGCTTGTTGTTGTTAGTTGGGTATCTTCATCACCTCTGTCTTCCCTACATTCACTTGAAGTACCATCTTCGCTACCCTGCCCTGTCCTGCTTCTTCTGTCAACTTGTTAGTTTGCGCTTGCAGATCTACGAGTTTGTACGTCACTAGACACAATCATCGGTGAAATCCAATTCTTCTAGGGTCTTTTCATCGGTCCAGCGTATCCCCTTTTCTCTCTTCTCACCTTCTGTTGCATGATCCAGTCCACTGCAATCAGGAATATCATGGGTGATAGTAGACAGCCTTGTTTCACTCCTGTCTTCACTTCAAGAGCATCACTGAGCTGTCCGTTGTGAATTACTTGGCATGTGATGTCTTCATATAGTTGATGAATGAGATTGATAAAGGTTTGCGGTATTCCGTAGTGTAGAAGCAACTGCCAAATAACTTGTCATTCGATGCTGTCAAAAACCTTTTCAAAGTCAAAACTAGATAAACTTTACACTTACAGATATGCATTCACCTTCTAAGATTTGACTGACATAATGAAATAGTAGCTAATCTATCTAGTTTTTTGCTGAAGCTGGCTAACCACCATCAAAATTACACTCCATTTTGTGTTCACATGCTTATGTAACACCAACTACCCATTTCACACTACACCCTTTAATACTGTTATTATTAACACTACTCATAAACAGTAATTATTTCTTCTTAAAAATAATGTAAAGGAGGAGAGGGGGGAAGTAGTTAAGCTATCACATGTTGAGAATTTCATACTGTATCATATATGTTGCTTAGAATAAAGGGATTATTACTGTCTATGCGAAGACTAGAATATAACCCATAAGATCAGACTTATCAGTAATTCATGCTAATGTGAAATTTCATCTACTAATAAATAGTAAAGTATGCATATGACTAAGTGATCAGCTAATTTAACCAATAAGATTAGAAACCAACCTTAATTCTGCGTAGTTTAAATATAACTGTTGGTATATGGTATGATTTCATTTGACCTGAACGAAGTAGTGTATCAATTCGTTCTGCAATTGAATTCAATGTGTCTTCTGATACATTCGACGTTTTTGATTTATTCATTTCAGATGTGATTATACTTTGTCCAGTTTCATTAAATGTATCAATAAAGTTAACCATTTTAACTTTAGATAATTTTTTTGGTTTAATCAAAGCTTTCATAAAATGTCGACAATCCAAATATAATGTTTTAAGTCTATAAAGTCTTGAAAATTCATCTGGAAGTGATATAATCTCATTTCCGTATACATTAATAGTGTGCAATTTACAACAGTTGATTATTTGTATTGGAAGTGTACTTAATCCCATTCGTTTTGCCAACAAATAACGTAATTCCACTAAGTTACCAATCTGTTGAAGAGAAAATAATTATTGAATTATATGCAAATTATTTACTGGTAGAATACTTCAATATTAATTCATAAGTAAAACTGTGGGAGATGTTACAGTCTTCTTGACACTAGAAGGCTGTGAAATTTGTTCAAATCGAATTCGAAATCTAGTCATCAACCTTATGTACATTTGTGCAGCAAGCAATGAGCTACATGTATTGTATGGAGGCTAATGATACTACCTTGATAGGTGGAGTGGTATTCAAACTCATAACTCATTGATGGAAAGTCATCTCTACAACTCCAACATGAACTTGGTCCTTCCTACAGATTTTGTGATTGAGCACTGTCAGAGTGTTCAAATCTGAAAGCAAAATGCTTTCCAGTCATTTTGGGTTTACAGCTATCCTGAAGTTGATATAAATCTATGATGAGAACCATGTTAAATATACAATCTGTTCACCATAAACTGGTCAATCGGATAGCTTTTTCTCATCTCCTGACTAACCACTTTTACGGATTCATCTGCTGTAAACATTTGTTTCATGGTCATAGGATTGTTTAGCCAAATTGACGGTGATTACTGTATCTCTAGTAGAGCGGATCACAATGAAGCCAGTGAACCTATAATTATGTCTTGAATATATATGACCGGTTATCATACTACATGCAGTAAAAAAATACTTACAAAAATTTTCATTCACACTGTCAGTTATTTAAAGTTTAGATGACTGTGAACAGATTGATGTGCAGAATACAGTCAAGCATTGACCATCTTGTGGTATATTTTGATATTGAAAAGTGATTGGTAAGACATACCAAGCCTTATGTTAAAATTAAACTTCTCATACAATTTTGTTGTTGAAATTTAAGGTGCGAATTGTTTGAATGAATAGTTTACAAAACTTAGGGATTTTAATAAAGTATGACAGGTGTTATTTCAAATGATTGTAGATTTTTCATTCTATATGAAGTATTCTCTTGATTATATAATATTATTATATTATTATTATTAGTCCCTTGAGTTCCTAGTGAAACATAGGGCTTCAGTAGCACGTCTCCAGTGAACTCTGTTCTCTGAAATCTTTTGAACCTGGTTCCACGACAGCCCACAAGCTCTCATTTCCTCCTTGCACGATCTCCTCCATGTCACCCTCGGACGTCCAACTCGTCGCTTCCCATGGGGATTCCACTCGAGTGACTGGCCTGACGCGTGATGTCCTCAGTCGGCCTTCTCAGTGTATGCCCAATCCATCTCCACTTCCTCTGCATATTTGTTGCGTGATAGGTTCTTGCCTGGTTGGTTCGTTGCCAGAGCTCCTTGTTGCTTATCCTTTCTAGCCATCTTATTTTCAGTAGCGAGCGTAGGCAGTTATTGGTGAATGTCTGTAGTTTATTGGAAATCATTTTCGTTACGCGCCAAGTCTCTGAACCATACAGAAGCACTGACTTGACTGAACTGGTGTTGAAAATCCGTATCTTGTTTCGCATGCTGAGTACAGAAGATCTCCACACTGGTTTCAGGCTAATGAACACCTGTCTTGCTTTTCCGATTCTGAATGATTATATAATAGCTCACCATAAAATGATGAACTAATTTCTATGATGTTTGAACATCTGAAGATGTAATATCTTGATTGGTAGATTGAACTTTGAAATTCTGGTCAGGTTGAATCATTAGAATGGGACATATAACGAAATCTCCTCTTAGTTTCATTGCTTAAGACGATAAACTGCATGTACAGCTCTATGAACAAGCTACCGAAAAATCGTGAAGTTACTGCATGTACAGTAATTTCATGTAGTAATAAATTCATGATTACTTATTTCATAATTAGGTAATGACAGGAATCTTTGAACATTACTTGAATTTCTATAGCTGGATGCTTTTAGGCAGAAAAACGAATCAAGAATCAGAAGAATCCACACGAGTGATACTATCAACAATGAACTGGACGAACTATGGAAAATTCTTATAGAAAACTGATACCCAACCAGATTTGTTGTTAAAAAGTTGAAATCAAAACATAATACAGAGCAAATACTCAAAGCTCCAAAGAAAACTGTCTTCATGAACGTTGGTTTTAAAGATGATAGGACAGCAGAGATCCTGAAGCATTGGCTGTCTAATTCATAGAAGGAAACATTTCCTCCCCCCCCCATCCTTCTACAGATCAGCTTCTTCAGTCACCAATTACTTCCAGGGTGTGTTAAGGAAATTTGCCGCTTTGGACCTCCTCAATGTGTCTACAGATTTACATGTTCCACTTCAACTAATTATATAGACCACATAAAGCGTCCATCTTTCAAATATATCTCTTAGCACTATCCTGATGGTTATCAAAAAGAGAATGTGAATCAATGAACAGTTCACTTCTTGAACATTTGCTCAACTACGGATATGTCATTCCATCATCATCCTCCTTCACTGTCGTTTATGAAGTTAAAGAGAATAGTTCAAAAGGCGAAGCTTTCCACACTTGTGCACAGTAGAAGCACTGGCAATTCACTTATTCAAGTATGTTCAATATCTTTTTGATTTAATCATAATTATTACTTTAATATTATCACACTCAATATTCAATATTGACTTTCTTTATATCTATCAAGTGGACACTGACATTTTTTTTAACTCCTTGTCTTTCTTGTTATCTGCATTGTTTAAAAGATTATAAGTCGACTGCTTTCCATTCTTCATTTAAGTTTTAAGCACTAGTTTAACGATGCCATTGTACCCTACTGTTTAATATTAGGATGTTATGCTTTTGAGATAGTATTCATCATAGATTGACATCATTGAAGAATCATTGAATACCTGGGAGCACTGAACAGCTGTTTCGCCCTAGTACGGGACTTCTCAGCAGTATGCACCCACGACCCGGCTAGGGGTCAAACTCAGGACTTTCAGGCTTTACAGCGAACTAGTCAACCACTCGCCCACTGGGTTGGAGGTCAAGGATACGCAGTTTCCAACTTCCGTCAGTTGCCGACTATCACTCAGTCTCAGCCCGGGATGAATACTACCTCAAATTACAAGACTGTTATACTTTTGTGATACATATAAATACAACTATACAGTTGTAGAAAATGATATTGGGGAAAAAAGAGTTTTCTTCACTGAATTATCTCTTATTCACCACTAGATTCATTGCCAACTAATGAACAAGTATTGATCTTGGTTAAATGTTGATCAAATAACAGGAAAGTGAAATAAGTAGGTTTTTAATCATTCAAGAATCGTCCGGAAATTTCATTGGTCAGGTGCCTTAATCATTGCAATACAATTATAGATAAAAAATACATAATAAATTTATTTAGAGATGTCCATATGTAAAAGATTAGCATAAATAAAAAAGGATACATCACTTCCTATATCTACGAGTGCAGTTTTCCACTCAAAAAAGATGTTCACGTTTTCTATATGAAATTGTGCTTAGTCAAAGGGGAACTCATCTCTCTCGTATTGTCTCTATAACTTTAAAGTTAGGTAACTGGAAGTCTTTTAAAATGACTAACTATACAGATTGGCTAGTTTAATTTTTCAGAAATTCACACATTTTCATGGAACTCTTTAATCTTGAAGAAGATTTAAAATTTTCAAGCAATTTGGTAACAAAATAAATGAAAGAATCACTGTAGGCATGGCACCACTGTTAAATGCTTGAATTTGGTCAATATTAAGCTATGTCTAAAGCCGAATTCTTAATGATTAGCATTAATCAGCGAAACATACTTGGATTTATGAGGAAAGTTGTGTTCATTTGGCACTTTCTAATTGATATCACCTAGAGATGGAGAGGAACACTCGAATATTGTAGCGTGTGCTACTGATAAGTAGTATATATTGGGGAGGGGGGGGGTGTGAAGAAATCATAGGGAATTATCAGCAGGGGGTAAAGATTCTGTCAGGAGAAACGAAAGAACAAAAGACGTTTAGCAAAGAGTTACTCTTTTCAGTGATATCATTCTTAAGCTGTACAACCGCATATATATATATATATATATATATATATATATATATATATATAATTGCAGCCCTACGCATCATCGTAGAACAGAGTATAGAATGGCAGTCGACTCAAATCAACCTCAACTTCATCGACTTTGGAAAGGCCTTCGATCGAGGCGTCGACCGAGAAGTAATTTGGCAGGCAGTTGCTTCAACACTGCGCTTTTAGTGCGAAAAATCTTTATCAACCTCATTCAACAGCAGCAATATGCTACATGAAGGCGCCAAATGTCAAGTCCTTCACAATGGAAAGCTCAGTGATGCCTTTGGAGTGAAGACAGGAGTAAGACAAGACAAGGTTGCCACCTACTATCGACGATCATCTTCCTTATTGTGGTGGACTGGATCTCGTAACTGAAAAATGTGAGGAGCTGTGAGAAGAGGGGCATACAATGACTGCACAGATGGATAGGGATTAGAAAATTTTGGTTTCGCCAGTGATGATTTATGTTCAATGTCACACAAACTCGAAGATGTACACGATGAAACCAACAAGTCGACAGATACGGGAAGCGAAAACAAGACTTCAAGTGAATGTAGAGAAGACACAGGTGATAAAGATACCCACCAACCACCACCACCACAACAACAACAAGCATCAGTCATCATCAACAGGAGAAAAATAAAGGAAGTAGTCTCTCTCACCTACCTACATACCTACCTACCTACATTCGCAACATCGTCTCAAAAATACAGGTGAGGACACAGGCACAATGAGGATGTCAAAACCACACAGGATTGAAAGGACAGCAAAACACAACTCCCTCCATTAATCTGAAATCAGTGTACAGATCTACTCCACTACATTGCACCCAACATGAAGCGTGAGCAATATCTGGATTTTCAACACCAATATCAGTGAAGTTAGTGCTGCTATGTGACGGTTGAGAGAGAGAGAGAGAAAGAGAGTTGGTGCATCATGAAAGCACTTCCAACAAACTACACATATTCATCAACAGTTGCCACCTATGCCTACCTATGCTCGCTCACTCCATACTGAAGATCACATGAGATGAGATGAGATCAGGTGAGATGAGAAGAGATGAGATGAGATGTGGAGAATGATGACAATAAGGAAGGAGGAAGTGTGGTTGGTTGACTGGCAATGAACCAACAAAGTAAGAAGCCACCACCCAACGGATATGCTGAAGAAGAAGGTGTAGATTGATTTGGCATACAGTGAGAAGGCGGATTGGAGATATCATGCGTGATGTGAGGTCAGGCCATGTTGTTGAGTGTAATTCGAAGGGGGGAATTGACGAGTTGATTGTATGAGTTGATGTTGATATTGAGGAGATGATGTGAGTAAGAAGTGGGTGTTGATGGTGCCAGGTTCTGATGAGTGGAATGGATGTGTTCTATGACTTGATGAAGGATTTTTAAATCATGGAAGTGAAAGAAGCAATTTTCGGATATTTAAAGAGTAAATCAAGATATGAGGAAAAGATGAAATGAAGTACTTTATGCAAATAACTATTTTCATAGGAAGTAATACCATATTTCATCATTACTCAACTAAATATCATAATAAACCTTCCTTCATGAATGGTATTCATCAACGTTTCTTACACTACATTATTGTTTAGGTCACAACTGATCCAATATAAGGTTGGCTTTCAAAAGTAAATCAGGCATCTACCGCTATAATCTATAGATATTTATTTTCAAGTATTATTGAATGACTCTTAAATTTCATTATGTTATATAATTTCAAGTTGTTATTCATCGTAGACTGACTGACATCAGTTGGAGGAACAAAGGAAACCTGGGAGCATTGGATAGCTGTTTCGTCCGACTAGTATGGGACTCCTCAACAGTGCGCACCCACGACCCCGCCAGCAGGGATCGAACCCACGACCTTCAGGTTCTGCGGCCAGCGCGTTACCATTGAGCTAGCCACTGGATGAGAATCCAATACTCCATATTTCCAATTTCTGTTAGCTCACGATTTACGAAGAATATATATTATATTATCAATAATTTACTTAAAATATTTTTATAACTTCTGACTTACTAATGGAGAGAGTTCATTTGTCCAATTCTCACTAATATCAAGTTTAGTTAAACTGATAAGTTGAAAAACAACTTTAGGGATAAATTTTAATTCACATGAAGACATTTTTAATGTTTTTAACTTTGTTAAACGAATCATATCTTTTGGTAGTTGTGTACATTCTGATATTTCATTATTATTATTATTACTGAATTGTTCAATTACTTTCTTTCTATCAGTTGATTTACTATTTCGATGTATAATATCACTTCCATCTTTCATTTGAATAATACCTTCTGGACTTATATCAGGCACTTGTGTATAACCTCGAAGATTATTATGACTTATATCTAGATAACATAGATTAATCATTGTACAAATTTCTGAAGGTAAAAAGTTTAGACTATTATTCGATAAATTTAATTTTGTAATTGTTATACCTAAACAACACAATATGAAAGTAAATTAAAGGTTAGTTTATAGAGTAGGGATGGTAAATAAGGGAATATTAAGAAAAAAAATTCATGAAATTGAAATAATTAGTCCCTTTTATGAATTTGGATAATGTAATTAGAAGACATAGATTATCTGCTGCTATCTAGACCTCAACGCTGTATAAACGATTGTATCACATCCCATTGCGTTTATAAATTTACATGAGGAGTCCCATACTAGTCGGACGAAACAGCTGTCCAGTACTCCCAGGTTTCCTTTGTTCCTCCAACTGATGTCAGTCTATGATGGATAACAACTTGAAATATTTCCAAATCTCCACAACTCCCTCAAAAAAAATTTAATTGAACTGGTGCTCATTGGTGACTAGCTTCGAGAAGTATTCCCGAAGTTCCAATGACAAATCGTGACCGGTGGAGTCAAAGCCTGATGACCATGAGGACAAATACTCAACGATGACATTGGGTGGCGGTCTGCGCTATATCGTGAGCTAACAGAAGTTGGAAATATGGAGCATTGGATTCTGACCCAGTGGCTAGCTCAATGGTAACGCGCTGGTCGCGGAACCTGAAGGTCGTGGGTTCGATCCCTGCTGGTGGGGTCGTGTGTGCGCACTGCTGAGGAGTCCCATACTAGTCGGACGAAACAGCTGTCCAGTGCTCCCAGGTTTCCTTTGTTCCTCCAACTGATGTCAGTCTTCGATGAATAACAACTTGAAAAATTTACATGTGTGTATGGACAAACATACATAGGGAGGACGAATCGTGATATACACTTGAAGGTAGGGGCACATGTTCCAGAGTGGCTACGAAAGCAGTTGGATTCACAAACATTGATAAGCGCAGATGGCAGACAACTATCATCATCCATTGCGAAACATATCATTGATAAGAGTCACAGAATTGATATCAAAACAGCCTTTACAAATTTTGTACAGAAACTGTCAGCGGCGTATACTTAAGTTTGTTGAGGCGCTAGCCATAAATAAATTTAACCCCCATTGTGTGTGCAAAAACAGTTTGTCCTTACATTAAGCCTACCTTGGTAATGATTATTTTATCGTATTACCAAGATTGTCTTCAAGTCTTATCTTTTATTCCTCTCATTATCTTTCTTATTATTGAATTCCTTTATGTCATATGTGTCCTTCCCCCACTTCCAGTTTTCATATATAATACTTTAACAAGTAAATGTGTGATCAACTTGTTATTCATCGTAGACTGACATCAGTTGGAGGAACAAAGGAAACCTGGGAGCACTGGACAGCTGTTTCGTCCGACTAGTATGGGACTCCTCAGCAGTGCGCACCCACAACCCCACACTACCAACGATCGAACCCGCGACCTTCAGGTCCCGTGGCCAGCGCGTCACCATTGAGCTAGCCACTGGGCCAGAATCCAATGCTCCATATTTCCAACTTCTGTTAGCTCACGATACAGCGCAAACCGCCACCCAATATCATCGTTGAGTATTTGTCCTCACGGCCATCAGGCTTTGACTCCACCGGTTACGACTTGTCATTGGAACTTCGGGAATACTTCTCGAAGCTAGTCACCAATGAGCACCAGTTCAATTAAGTTTTTGAGGGAGTTGTGGAGATTTGGAAATATTTCAAGTTGTTATTCATCATAGACTGACATCAGTTGGAGGAACAAAGGAAACCTGGGAGTACTGGACAGCTGTTTCGTCCGACTAGTATGGGACTCCTCAGCAGTGCGCACCCACGACCCCACCAGCAGGGATCGAACCCGCGACGTTCAGGTTCCGCAGCCAGCGCGTTACCATTGATCAGATGTGATCAGATTGTTCGAAATGTATAGCGCTAATACATCACATTTTTCAGATAATCTACGTCTTCTAATTACATTATTCAAAACAATTCATATTTTACTTGAATCGAGTAACAAAGTCATTTTTGCTACTTTCGAAGGTTAGAATATACAGATTTATTTTTTACAATTCTGTTAGAATGAAATCTCAAGATCTAGACTTGATTTATCCACAACAGCTTTCTCCAGGAGTCAGCGTCAAAATATGAGTTACCAAAGGAACTCTATGTCGTGATTCAGTAGTCCTCAATAATTCATGTTCCAAATTAGATATGGAAACTAATGCATATTGATGATATGAAATCATGGTTCAACCATATGGTAAATGATCAATTAGGTCATCGATTACGAATAAAGTGAACGTCACTTACCTGGTACAAGGTTTGAGAAATTCTCAATGGTAATGAGAATCTTTATAGTAATTATTTTGAATCGAACTGCCGGTTTTTAGAAACTTCACCACACCATGAAAGTCATATGAATATACTACTGGCTGACAAATATAGTTTCAGACCGCCCGATCAGCAGTGTTCAATAGCCAGTTCAAAGTCATTTAAACGCTGGATGACAGTTTCGTCCGTTTTCGGCCTAGCTCATCAGCTGCGTATAGCAACGGATTTAGCTCAGAGAGGTGAATTATCTAAACTATACGGATTTCACCCAGTTATTTAGACGGAAGGATGATATCTTAGAAACGATTCAGATGTTTGCTGAATATACAATCCGCAGCGAAAAGTCTTACAATGGTTTCCTATGGAGCTCAGCCCCAAAATCAACAAAACAATTGGCTATTAAGCACTGCTAATTGATATGAGGAGTGTTGAATGACTAATGTCGGCCACTAGGATATTTCCAACAGCTTTCATGCTCGCAATTTTGAAGTCAATACCAAACATAGTGACTTTATCACTGGATGACTGTTTTGCTTGTCTGAAATGGAGTTTTTCAGTATTGTAGCCGGAAAAATTCAGCTCACAGGACCTAATTGATTATTTTGACAAAATCTGGTTGGTTGAATTCAATAGGCCAGCGAACTTCGAGAGAGAATATCAACTTTCCAGTTGTTTACAGATTGCACATTGACATTTCCAAGTGACTGACTGTCGTATGAACAGGATTTCATTTGGAAACCACCTAATAAAGATAACAGAGTGTAATCTCTGATACAAGAGTTTGACGAGCTAATGAAGAATACTACTGAACACGATGAGTAGTTGGAAACCACTTACTTTGATGTGCAAATTTAGCTGTCAGCTAGTACTGAGAAGAATTTGTAAATTCATCATCGTTAGTATATCTTCTAGGAATTAATGTGTTTGCTTAAATGCCTTTAGTTTTCTTAAATGGTCGGATTGTTCAACTTTCATGCTGATTCCTGGATATTGCCTGAATATTTACTGCGATAATTCACTAAGTTGTGGCTAGCAGAAGAATCCAGGAAGCACGTTTCGTCCCACATGCAACTTGTAGGCTGGATGTACCTGCACCTCAACGAGTGATGTTGTCCTCACTGAGACTCGTACCTCGTACCCATCGTTTCAGACTCCAAGGCCTTATCCACTACACCATTGATGCTTAATGGCCACCTCTTTAACAAAGGGTATGGGTCAGTAATACTGACGCGTAGAGCTACAAGCATATCAACAAACAATAATAACCAATACCCGTGCAGACGCCTATTATCACCCATGATCTTCCTCATTGTAGTAGACTGGGTCATGCAGCAAACTGTGAGGAGTGAGAAGATGAGGATTCGCTGGACTAATGAAAAGAGCCTGAAACAGTTGGATTTCGCCAAGCATGATGATTTATGTCTAGCGTCTTATGTCGCACAAACTCAAAGATGTACACGATGAAAGCAACAAGTCGACAGATACGGGAAGCGAAAACACGACTTCAAGTGAATGTAGAGAAGACACACGTGATGAAGATACCCACCGATCACAACAACAACAAGCATCAGTCATCATCAACGGCAGAAACCTAGAAAAAGTAGTCACTCTCACCTACCTACATACCTACACACCTACCTACATTCGCAACATCGTCTCAATAAAATACAGGTGAGGACACAGGCACAAATGAGGATGTCAAAACCACACAGGATTGAAAGGACAGCAAAACACAACTCCCTTCATTAATATGAAATCAGTGTGGAGATCTACTCCACTGCATTGCACCCAGCATGGAGCTTGAACAATATCCGGATTTTCAACACCAATATCCGTGAACTCAGTGATGCTATGTGATGGTTGAGAGAGAGAGAGAGAGAGAGAGAGAGAGAGTTGGCGCATCATCATCATCAACAGTTGCCTCCTATGCTCACTCACTTCATACTGAAGATCACATGAGATGAGATGAGATGAGATGTGGAGAATGATGACAATAAGGAAGGAGGAAGTCTGGTTGGTTGACTGGCAATGAACCAACAAAGTAAGAAGCCATCAGCCAACGGATATGCTGAAGAAGAAGGTGTAGATTGATTTGGCATACAGTGAGAAAGCGGATTGTGGACATCATGCGTGATGTCAGGTCAGGCCATGTTGTTGAGTGTAATTCGAAGGGGGGAATCGACGAGTTGATTGTGTGAGTTGATTGTGATATTGAGGAGATGATGTGAGTAAGAAGTGAAATGTTGTTGGTGTTGATGGTGCCATGTTTTGAAGAGTGGGGAGAAGAGAGTGGAATGTGGGTGTGCTATTGAATCCTTATGTTTGATTTGGAACTTAAAAGTAAAATAAATAATATGTAATAATACCCGTTGTTAACGAGGTGGCTATTGTACCTCAGTGGCATGTTGGACAACACCTTGGCGTTTGAAGGGATGGGTACGAGGTTAAAATCTCTGCAAGAACAACATCATTCTGCACTGTGGTCCAGGTTCATCCAGGTGGCGAGTCCCAAATAGAACGAAACTCACATCGTGGGTTCTACTGCTAGCCACAGCCGCAGTCATCTGACCAGTGTGGGGCTCCTCAGTAGTGTGCACCCCCGACCCCGCACCACCAGGGATCGAACCTGTGACCTTCAGGTTTCATGACCATCACGTTACCATATGGAGCATTAGATTCTCACCCAGTGCTCAATGGTAACGTGCTGGCCACGGAACCTGAAGGTCGCGGGTTCGATCCCTGGCGGGTTCGTGGGTACGCACTGCT